CAATCATTGTGAAAAGAGAAGCAGAGCTACAAAGCAAGATACCAGTGTTAAGGCAAGGGTAATAGAAATCAGGAGGAACAACAAGCAACACTAGCTGGTGAAGTTACAGTGCTTGGGGAGATACAAAACATTGCTGGGATGGAGTGTTTACAGAAAAAATCCCACAGCTCATATTTGCATTATATATTTATAAATTCCTGGAACTCAATTTTATAGGGTTTTTGATTAATGACTGTGATGCAGTTCAGCTCCAAGCCTATTGAACTTACTGTACTGGAACTGAGCAAGAGGTACACTAGCCAAATATGAACACTACTACCAGACTATGATTTAAAGATGGTTTGTCGCTTAAAGGCATTGCTGTGGGGCTCTGCTTACTGTACAAGTAGAGTTCAAATATAAAGAAGGGCCTCCCAGAAGCCTTCTTAAAATCGGAGTCAGAGGTGTTTTCTCACAGATACCTACATCACAGATGAGATAAAGAACATGGAAAAATGCTGTGCTTTCCCCATCACTTTTGCATTAAAATAGGTGCAGACTCTGTTAATGTATGGATTCTCCTAATTATGTATTTATGTCACTTCAATCACAGTATCTTCTAGGATCATGGCCAAATGCTCAATTTTCTTATGCGGGTGTTGTATGCCAAGTGTTCCCACGCTATGGTATTTGAGATTAGTACTGTTTCTCCCACACTTCAAAGAAGACATCTGTGGTTATGGCTGGCAAATGCTTTCTTAATTGTTGACTGTCATAATAATATAGTAAAAGCAGTCTCGTTCTGTTAAGGTAGGAGTCACTTCATTACATAAAGTCCTTATGGCTATTATGATTTGTGAGGCGAAACTCGATGCCTGTAATTTCCAAGTGTGCCAACTGGAGTCAACGGAAGGCAGCATTAGGGGGAAAAAAAAAGGGTAAGAAAACTGAAGATTTGCCAACATGGAGGGAAAGTTCCACAGTCCCTTTGGTTCTTGTCTTCCCAGGCAATGCAGCCTTCAGCTGTAAGATGGACACAATGGCAAATCATTTTAGAAGGTGAAAACTCTCTCCAATCCCAGAGCTGGTATGTGAGAACAAGATCACTGGAACAATTCACCATCCTTGTCACAATCACTTTTCATAAAAAAATAAAACAAAAGATTGATAATGATTGTTGATAATACAAATCTATAGAAAACACTGGTAACATTTATACTCCCTGTAAAAGTGTAGGAATTAAGGCAACTAAATCTGTTTCATCTCAATTCTAACCTTTCTAAACTTCTAATATATACATAGTATGAAGATTAAGCTGTATGTGAAATTTGGAAACAGTCAGACTCCCTCTCTTACAAGAAGAAAATGATCTCTTTTTTCATACTCAATGAAACAACATAAAAAGCCTACAACCCATACGCACACAAGAAATCCTGGAAAACTGAATTTGCGAGTAAAAATTGTTACTGAAGAATTGTTTCTAAGAGAAATTTTCTTTTTTGGTAGTTTGACTTTGTATTTTTCAAAACAATAAACAGTTGCAATGATGCTAGTTTGCTAAATAGTCCCAGTCCAAAAAATGAAGAGGTATAGAGTTGCTGAAATTTATTTAATTATACTTCTGCAACATAATGACCTTGACATGAAGACAAGGCTTAGTCTGTTTTTAATGAAAATGTTACTAGTTGGTATGACTGCTTGCATTTAGATGAATGTCGTTTATTGTTAAGTCTGAAGTATTATACATAGGTAATCAGCATACTTATAGCAGAATCCCCTTTTTTTTTTTTGGACTGTGTTCCTTCAGTATGCATCTTTAATTAACTTCATTTTTGTTTAGTTCTTATTTTCTTTGAGCTTTACAAGGAATGGTTGGTTAACTTTTCTGACTTGGCACTGCTTTGAAAGGTAACTGTTTGGAGTGACATATATTTTTTTTAAGGAAAACTTTCAGTTGTGCCTGTTGAACTCCCTAGTTTCCAGGAAGTTCAAATAGCAGCACTTCTCTTTTTGTACCACGCTCCCTCTTGCATTGCTATGAGGCTTTAATCACAACTGACAGTTGTTAAGCAGATGAGACTGTGATTTGTTTTTCCAGAAGTCCCTGCTGCATGCTTGAAGGGTGTGAAGTGGGTCAGCCACCAGTCAGACATAGCAGCAGACAGTCAAGCTCCAGAAGGAGTGAGTTTGCCATTTTAATGCGAGAATACTGAAAAAAAAAAAAGGTACAGTCTGAGGATGTTAACTCTGGGAAAAAAATGTGGTGCTTTAAAAAGGAAGGAGAAAGAAGTCAAGAGTATATTCATATATCTATAGGCAATCAAGATTTTAAATTCAAAAACATTCTCAGCCTTCCCATGCTTTCAAAGTAGAAATGATGTGAGGTAGCATATTTGAAAGTACCAGCAATCAGTGTTGAGCCTAAGGATTTGGATGAATGTGGTATGTAGAAGATCATTTGCAGAACTTCACAAATGGGTAATTAACTTATTCACAAATGGGTGATCCTTGCCCTCTTGGATGTAGTCATGTGTGGGAACATCTGGCCCAGAAGGGTGGAGGATCCATGGGTGACCTCACTCTGATTCCCAGAACTAACATCTCTTTGACACGGTACTTAGAAGAATGATGTAAAGAGATGACAGTTCCCACTGTTTGGCATAGCTGTGGGTATAGTGGATTTAGAGGATAAACTCTGGTCTATAGTATCTTGACATACAGTATCACTGAATATATGAAGGATTATGGAATACCAGAGGGATCGTGTATTTTCATCCTGACTCATTAAGTAATTTTAAGTTATTCCCAAAGCTTTCCACAGTGTTTCTCACAGCTTTATCAGTCCAATTCTATCTCATTGAAAGCAGACAGAAAGACTCCCCCTGACTTATTTTGGAGCTGAACTGGTCTTGAAATGTGCTAGATACTGTATGTACAGATACAGTACAGGCTTCTTATTGAGAAGCCTGAAAATAGCTAAAAACGTATTAACAAAGTAGATGGATGCATATGAGTTGAAATTCTTTTTGCATAAATTTTATGCATGTTACGGTTCATGCTTTTGGCCATCACGTTATAAACCAATCATCCTTGGAAAAGACATAAAGATGATTAAGAAAAAGGCAACATCACAATCTACAATAAAAATATCATGTATTCCATGTAACAGGAGAACAAGGACAGCCTACCTGTGGGACCAGTAAAACTATGACCACTTAACACTATTCATACTTGTGATTCATTGCTATGTGTCCATTTTTTATGGTTATTTCATTTTTCTCCATAAACATACTTTAACTCTAGCGGCTACAAGGCACTTTTGTGTTTTATCTAATGAAATTAGTGTGAAAACCAGAGAAAAGGATTTGCTGAAACATATTCCAGTGCTTCTATACATTTTTTATACCTTTTTGCAAAGGCTGCCATAGGAAAGGGACTCTGAAATTGCTGTCACTTGCCAGAGTCTTAGAGAGCTCTTTGGTTTCTGAGATCTATAAAGTCACCAAACATTTCTGGCAATTGAAGAAGGGTATATCTTTAGATAAGCTTGAAAATTCTACCTATGATGCCAGTTCCTTCTGTTTCCACATACAATGATTCACTGAAAAGTTTATAACACATTTGCATTCTTTCTTGAACTCAGATTTTAATTAAGTCATCACTGTGGGGTTTCCTAAGGAGGATATTCATAAGAAAATCTCACCGTTATTGTGGTCACCGCAAATGTTGTTCAGTAACAAAAAGGAGTTACTACACATTGTTTTTCTGAATGATCTTGTAAATACTTGTTTAGAAATAAGGTCACATTTTGATGTAGCTAAAACTGGTTCTGCTCTACCTTATGCAAAATCAAATAAGGAACTGTGATCAGAAAGTAAAATGTCTGGATAAACTTCTTTAGCAAATCAGTATCATGGTTTACATAAACAAGCCCAAATATGATCTACTATGCGATGAGCAAAACACTGATTGTTAGGGGTTTTTCTGTTAGCAGCTCACTGGGGTGGGTGAGTGGGTTCACACCTCTCACAGCCGCTGTTCAGACTACCCACAGACCACCTGACCACTGTCTACATCAATCAGGAGTCTATCAGCTCTGCATACAGCAATATAATTTATAGCAATATTAATGTAAAAATTAAAGATAGGTTGGGCCTAGGAAAACAGTGGCTAGCAATAACCTAGCTTGCTTTGCTTTTATTTTTAAGTTTTTTTTGACACAAATGATTGAAATGGGTAATTGAAACAAGTATCTAAATATGCTTTTGCCCATATACAAATAAATCTAGGGAAACCTGGGTATAAGAGCTGCAAATATAGTCTGTTAATCTTTACATGTACTTAATCACAGTCTCCTTGAGAGAATGCTAAGTAGTACTGCTATTCCCATTTCACAGGTTAAAAAAAGAGCTTTAGGAATCTATATTCTTATTTTACCTCAGAATCAATCTGTGCTAGTTACTCAAAGTCAAAACTACAGAGACAACGGAACAAAAAAAACCCTTCAGTTGTACCACTAAAAGTCGACTTCAGCAAATATATCTCAGACTAAAACTAACCTGCTTTGTCTGCACTGTGGTATTACTTTGCAGCAGCTAAATGAACATCAATTTCTCTACCGTAAAAAAAAATCCAATAATAATAATATTTTTAGCAGCGTAAACAAGCCCTTAATAACTTTCCCAAACTTATAAAGGCAATTCTCAGGGGAAGTAGGAAATGAACACAGGTTAGTGACCTTAATCACCAGATACTCCTTTCTGACTAGTTGAACACTGAGAAGAAATCCTACAAAATTTCTGTGAACCGTTATCCATCAGGTGGGTTCAGTAATGCTTCAAGTCCTGAGCATTTGCAAAGCCACAGACACAGTCGGCATGATTGTGGAGCCCAGTTCTGATAAGACTGTAGATGCTTATTTGCAACATTTTTTATCAGACTTTATGAAAAGTTGCATTTTAAAAATAAATTTATTGTACATTATTCAGTCAGTTACGTTAGATTTTTGATTATTATTGCAGTTGCATCTGGAGGCCTTCCTCAGGACCTGGCCTCGCTGTCCTAAGGCCGTGTGAGACTCAACTTTTCTAAGTCTTCGTGAATGAGACCCCACAGACTTCATCATGTAAGAGGAGAGGAAGCGGGGACATGCTTCTGGCATTTGGGGCTGGCAGGCAACCAAGATGCTCTGGGATTGTCTGATGGGCACACGTCCAGTCAGGAGAGGGGCCATAGCAATAGGCTGCAGCTGAAAATAAAATCTTCTGGTGGGGCTGCTTTCACATGAAACCCTGTGAGGTGAAATACTCAGCTGCGATGCAGACAAGGATGTTCCTCCTGCTCGGTGACCTCAGTTAATCCAACATGCAGGTTCACAGAACAGGAGAGAGGCCACAAGGGTCTTCTGCAAAGACAGGAGGTTTGGCTGACTCTGCCCGGGAAGGGTAGTAGTCTCATGCTGAGTGCACAAGATTTGACAGAGCTCATGTACAGGCGTAAAGTAAGATGTCAGTCATCATCCCACAGAGCTCAGAATCTGAGGGAAAAGGTTTAACGCCTGACTTAAGAAAATAACACAGGGTAGGGGAAAGGCTGATGAGAGAAGAAGGTATATTTTAGCAAGTTGGGTATTTAATTCACAAACGTGTCCTTAGGCAGTCAATAGCAGCAAACACAACAGTAAGCTATATTTTATATATTTATATATGTACTATTCAAGCTATAAAGAGTGAAGACCGCTTGGAGAAGAGCAAAGATGGGTAGGAATGAGGAAAGAAGGGAATTTTTTACATTTCTCATGAAGAAGTAAAGCTGTCAATCAGATCTGGTGAAAAAGTCAAGTAAGCTGATATCAACCCATAGACCAGTTCCTGCATCATATGTGCTGTTGGTCAAGGTTATTCCTTACCTGGACGATAGTACTTGTTTCACAGAGCACTGGAGCATTTTCTTATTGGCTTACTGTTAATATAATAAGATTTCTTCCTAACAGCATGTTGGCCCAATTGAAGTTCCTGGAGCTACGTTGTTTTGTCCACTGAACCAGTTTTTACCTACTTATCTATTGTGATATTTACATTAGGACAGCTGGCATTTCTCTGATTTTCCTGATAATTAAGGGCCAGATTCCTATAAAGATGCCAACCACGTCAATGCCACTAAAGTCAGTGAAGCTATACTACAGAAGATCTGGCCACCCAGGCAAAATGTGGCTGTATTGTTAGACAAAAAGGCCTTCTGAGGCTATTAAATACTCATCCCTCACTTCTTTTGGAAAATGTTGCTAGTTCTGATCATTCTACCACAATAATATTATTCTTATGCCCCTTTACTTGCTAGTATCTACCAATCAGGTGAGATTCTCAGTTTCTAGTAACCATCACACCATGCATCCCACTCCTTCCAATTTCCTGAAAATTTGGTTGGAAAGTTTTGGAAGGAACATTTTGAATCATATAAGTCCAGTCAATTAAATTCAATCCTCAGTTTTATCAACTCTTAATTTCAAACAATTTGACAATTTGTGTTTCTGAACTTTTTTTAATTTTTTTTTTTTAAAGTTCAAGTCTAGCAAGCTTAAATTCCTGACTTCTAACTCTTTGACACTCCCTCAGCTTTTGGGATGCCTCTCCTCTAAACTTTAAAAAGTATTTCAAAAGCCATTTCATTTCCTCTTTATGGCTGACACATGCTTCAGTGATTTAAAGTATTTTTGATCTTTTGCAAAACCAAGACATAGCTTTAAGACGAAGCTACTATCTGCCGTGTTTGTTTGTTCTGTTTTATAGGTTTAATCCTGTTTCCCTCACCATTTGCAATTCCATTCAATATAGGGTCTTACGCTGTCCTCATCAGCAAAATATGTGTCTGCATTTTGTGTTGGTAGGTTGTTTTTTTAAGACGTTTTTCAAATGCATATTATATTCTTTATTACATTAAAGAAGCCAGATCAGAGATGTAAGTTTTCTTCTGGGCTTAAACTAGTGCCTGACCGGGTCCTGTGTCCCACTGTCCCAACAGAGAAATTAGCTTTGCCATAGACATTTCTAGTGTGACTCAAGAGAGGATTTCTCAGTCTGTCCTTCATGAGAGGCTTTGACTCAAATGACTTGTAGAAACAAAGCAAGCTAATGGTACAGAATTACCCAAATAGTCATTTGTGCAGGATTTCCTATGTAGTATGATTATTAAACAGTTCAAGCTGGAACAAAAGTGCTAAATCAAAGTCCAGGATATCACTATCCTGGCACGCAGCATTCAAAACTCAGATACTCATGCAAACTTTTTCTTCTTGATCTTTATCTGTGCCAGAACACCAGTTTGCATTCAAGTGCAATGTATACAGTATTCCCAAACATTCTAGAAGTAAAATACCTGAGATCACGTTAGAGAGGACGTCAGACTGCCTCTTTCTCACTACCAGAAGTCGTCCAATAGGTAACTAGGATCTGAACACCATTTTTTTCTGTAGGCACTAAATAACACCATCCCAGCATTGCAGAGATGTAACTATGCACTACTTGAAGAGACAGAGTAGAGGCATATAACTCAGTTGTTGCCTGTTAATTTGCTTCATTTTCTGTGTCAAATCCTGGCCTCCTTTGACCATCTGGGCTAACTTTTTCAGGAACTTCTCTGAAGTCAAAAAATACTTGCTTAACAACATGGGCAAAGGGCCCCATATTTTGCAGCTCCTAGCCCTCTCTCTGGAAGCCGTTTTGCAGAGATGGCACAGAGGGACTTTTTCTACTCTCCTGCACTGGCATGTGTTAGCAACACATAACCCCTCTCACCTAATTTTTGGCTTTGTAATATCTGAGGCCTATGTAGTGATGCTGTCTTGTGTGTCTGTTTGTCAGTCCAACCCAGTAAGTTTTGAACTTGGCCATAGCTGAGAGAGGCTCTTAAGGTGTTTGGCTTTTACAAAGGTCATAAAAACAGATGGCCAGAAAGAAAGGATGGAAACACTATATTAGCGCTCCCACTAACAGAAGTCCAGCCAAAAAGAGAGAAACTTGTATCATTAGGTACCAGAGAATCCATACAGCATAAAAAGTTAAGGCCATCCAATCTGCAGTAGAAGTTTCAACTGCAGTTTGACTTTTTAGGAGATCAAAGAATCCAACCACAAGATACTAAGCTGCAGAAAACCAGACTTCATTATTTGTGCTATTCAGGGATTGACGTGTTTTCCCTGCAGGCTGGTTTCAGCTGTTCTAGAGCTAAATTCGCAATACATTAGCTGATCTAAACCCAGAAGCTGCTCCGGCTGCCACTTACATCTGTACCGTCCAACTCTCTGTCCCACCACAAGCCTCCTGTGGGACTTGAGCTGGTCTCTGTGTTAGTTTTTCACCTGCAAAACAGGAATTGGAACACAGCTCTGCTTCATGGGAACATCATGAAAGTAAATACTATAAAGATAAGGATTCACATGTATTACAAGGTGGAGGGGAACAGACAGCCTTATGTATACCCACAATTCAGCTGACTGGCTCTGCTCACAAAGCTCTCTAATACGAGGACAGCACATGGCAAGAAAAAGGATTTTTCTACCATGGCCCTTTCCCAAGCATAAGGCATAGCAACACAAGAAATTACTAGCAGTATATCTGTGTCAGTGCCATACAGGTATAGCTAGTTTGACAGAGATTTTTATTTTAAAAAATAGAAGAAGAAAAAAAGGTGTGCAGGCACAGATCTAGCCTGGGCCTACTGTTGAGACTCCATTAGCCCAGTACTCCTTGTGGGCTAACACCACTAGGGACATGGTCGCACTTTGTACAGATATAGCTATCTTGCACAGGCAAAGTAATCTCAAAGAGTAAAAAAGCTTTTTTTGCTAGGACAGAGTCACAGATATTCACAAAGTCTTCTGCTCACATGACTGTGTTAATGGCAAGAAGTAGCGCACTCTCTGACTGATTTTGCAGTAAAACAGTATGCCTTTGAAATAGATTCAGCCCAATTTTCATAGGTGAATTGCTGGAACTTTTCTAGATGATCCATTTAAAAACTGTTTGTTTGGCCTTGTTTCCCCCTGTAGAGCAACCACAGGCTAAATTGGCAGTAAACAGTTTAAAAGAGTGAAAAGACAGAAAAGTATTGTGGCAGGAATATAGCTGTGAATAATTGAAGAACAGGAATATTAGGAGAAAAGAATCAGAAGGAGAGAGGTCTGTTCTCTCACTCAGCGTATTAACATAGCTGGAGTTTTTCCCCAGCCTAAACCAGTGTAAGTGAGAGACAGAAGAGGCACAGAGAGTATCAGGAGTCCACTGTGAGGACTGTTGAATTAGCTAATGGTTACACTGAAAAGCCTGGGCAATTTTCAAGTACATACTTTTATTTCTTATACAGAAGCCTGATGGGAAGGCACAAAGAAAATGATGCTTGTGAAGATGCTAAATGCAATTTATTCCAGGGAAAAAAAATATCACAGGGAAGAATGTCCAGGAAGAAAGTTATGTTGTATGCAAAGCATAGAAAAATACTTTGGGAGCCACTGTTAACAAAAAAAAGTCTTCTTTAGCCTCTATTCCAGGGAAAAGTAATTGAGAAAAAAGAAGATAATAGGCTTCTGTGTTGCATTACTTTAAAAATGCACTCAAATGAAAGCAAGTAGTATAATAATGAACTAAGTCAGAGAGCACTGTTCAATTAGCGGTAAAACTTAAGGAAGCTTGTAATAGCTACACTTACAAAGAAATACTTGGTTGGGCTTATTATTATGGAAAAGGGGAAAAAGTTGTGGTAAATTAAATGTCATTTATAAAATAGGAGGGTCTGATCAAACTGATCCAGACTGGTCCTTCACAGCAGTAAGACCTTAAAATTAGGACATGGGGATAAAAGGAGAATTTAGTCTAAACTATTTCATACAAAGGCTATTTGACATATGGAACATGTTACCCTGAAGAGTAACTAAAGCAAGGAGCATGGATGTTTTCAAGAGAGAGAAAGACAGGGAACTACAAAAGGAAATTTCCAACCTGAGGAGCTTCAAAAGGAATACAATTCCTTTTTTTTTTTTTAAAGTAGCCAACCATTATCTCATGTCTGAAGGAAAATTATGATGAGCATTATATCTTCTTCTTCATCTTACCCCTTTTCTAACTATGGAGT